CATTTGTCATAATAGAACGCAAATTATTTTTAATTAGTCTCATTGAATTATTATTATTATTATTATTATTATTATTATTGTTGTTATTATTATTATTATTATTATTGTTATTGTGGTTGTTGTTGTGATGAAAAGTTAACACAAACGATATGGTGGCTAAACGAATATTACATGTAAATATTTTTTTTTATTTGTTTGTTCCCCGGCAAAATTTATCGTCTTCCCCGACGGAGGGGGGGGGGGCTATAGCCCCCAGCCCCCTCTGGCGCCACCCCTGGTCTCAAAGCACCAACATGTTATAATAATAATGACATAGCGTTCGTTAACAATGTTTGTCACACTGGTGATGGGCGGGAACACAGTCACAAAAGTGGGGAGAGACCCTAGTACAAAAAGTGGAGGGCCAATGGCTCCTGGCCCCTGGTTCCGCTGCCGATGTTGTTGACGGCACTCTCTGCGCTGTACACAGTATGAATGTCAGATTGATAAATAGGGATACACAGGCCTACCCATCTGCCTATAGGCAGATGAAATGGGTATGTATCCCTATCTAAAATTCTGACATTCATTGCCGGGGCTGAGATGAACAAAATTTCAATGTCACGGTTTGTCACCTATGCACGGAAATAAACCTAGCACTTTCATACTTAAAAAGAATATTCGTTTGCCATAAATGGGGTTACATTCAGGTCCAGCTTGTATTGACCCGTGGGCTTTGTGTGGAACAGTTTGACTCATCATGGTTGTTTTATTTTCATATTCAGAACAAAGAAATATATAATAAATGATAAATAAACCTTAACTAAACATTTTAAAATAGTCCCGTGTTTATGTATTTTCAGGGGCGCACAGGGTAGAATCTCAGGGGGTTGGGGGTGTCAAGCCTAGCGCAACCAACATAGGCAGGGGCCGCCCTAGAGCTCATGACCCCTAAGGCCCCGGAAATGTTTCGTTATATACCTGGACGTGATAAAAGACAGTAATGAGGTTTTTTCCATGCGTTTAATTCCTATAAAACTGGTAAAAAAATCAGCCTAACACCTTCTTTCCACCTTTTCATACTTACCAACCTGAGAGTTTTGAACTTTACGTGAGTGAAAAACAACAGTTGGCTGTTTTAAAACAATTTAAGGGAGTTTTGTTAACAATACTGGGTACATAAACAAAAATATTTTAATATCTTAATTTTGAGCACCCGAACTCTGTAATATTTCATTGCTCAAACAAAATGAATAGCAATACTGATCAATTTTTATTGATGCGTCAGTGATAAGTACTCACGTAAGCCTGAATATTGTACGTTTTCATATTTTTAATAATACCAATTTCTTCTAATTATAAATGGATTTTCCCCTGAATTTGTGCTATTTCGTTATCCACGCATATTGTGAGCAAAATGCGTGACAAATTTATGATCACGCACGTCTTTTCCGCAAAATGCGTGTTCACCCAAAATCACTTTGAAATACGGGACCGTCCCGTACGATGCGATACGGTTTGTAACTATGTCTTTTCACCCAAGTTTTTTAATATTCGAAACTCTGATTCTCATTAACCGCTTCCTATTTTTCTAGGCCCAGTGGTGTTTGTGTCTTAGAAAAGTCAGCATTCTGTACATAAATATAAAAACCGAGGCCCCCGACAAGCCCCCCCCCCCTCCTTAAACCATGACGCCACCCCTGCTGTGTGCATTTTGGTGAAGCGCCAAGTTCCAAGCAGTGCCGGATTAACCATTTGGCAAATAAGGCACAAGCCTTGTGGGCCGGGCGAAAATGATGGGCCATCAAAAGTTGGACTGCAATATTATTTACACTCTATTTTCCGGTATTATTAGGCCAGAAAACTCGGAGACATTCTACTGTTAGAGTTGTGGCAGAGTAACGCTTCTCTCTGACACGAAATATTATGCAATCACGGTAGCTGGGGATTTTACATTTCGTAATTATTACCATGGGGTACATTCAATTAACATTTTTGGGCCATTTCCAAAATGTGCCTTGAGGCCAGACGATGCTTAGTCCGGCACTGGTTCCAAGTCGAAATGAGTCCAGGATAGGCCACGGGGCTCCTCTTACTAGCACTCTAATACAACACTTTTGTTAATGTATGGGACCCTGGTTGTGCATCCCACCCACCCCTAGTATCCTATCCCCCCTCAAAAACATGGCAATGATTACCCATCATAGTAAGCCTATTATTAAATATATGTAAAGACATTATATAATAATGTTAAAATCTATCAAAACAATGTATATAGACCTACTAATAATTTCAGAGTTTCAGAGCAGCATATTCGTGGTATCGAAGTGGTGACACTACAATCAATCAATTCGGTAACCAATCGTCTTTGTATTGGTAGTTTCAAGCTTAAGACTATACTCGAAGAAAAAGTGATCCAGAAGTTATAGGATATTATTTAACTATAGAATATAACCAGAGGCGGATCTGGTGAAATAATTTGGTGGGGTTGGGCATGCGACAAACGAAGCACTGAGTAGGGTTTGTGTTAGGACTTTGTTTAGAAATGCTTAAGAACATTGACACTGATGGAATTTAAATCGAAAATTAGTGTGTTTTGGAAAAAGGCCTACGTAACCTGCTCTCTTTCTGCATTTTCTTTTCTTCTCCCCTTTTTCTTTATTTGTTGGTGTAGGACTATCCCCCGCACTCCCTGGATCCTCCCATTATAACGATTGACTGAATTGTTTTAAATGCTTATTTATATTGGCAAAGCATCATTAGAACTTTCATGATTAAGCATGTAACCTATGCGCGGTCAGGAATGCACATACGAAAAATATGTGTATAAAATAATTTGATTATATTGTTATATGCACACATATTCCTACCTACTTTACTGATATGCAGTAGCGTATCTAGTCTTGAAATGGGGGAGCTGATGGCGAAGCGCAAAGGTCACGTGGGAGAGCTCAATGATTAGGTGAAGTGCGCTTGTTTGTAAAATAAGGTGATTTGTGGGAAAGACTGGGTGGGGCGCTATTTTTTTTCTTGGGGGCTTTCGGGCGCACCTCTGAGGTACGCCACTGCTGACAATGCAAGGGGGCCCCAACATTATTTGTTTTTTTGAAAAAGCTAGTTTTTAAAAGAAATTTGTGGATTTAGGTCACTGTCTGTGAATCACGAACGACCTCCGACCGTAACAATATTTTTAAGAGCATATTATTGTTAATTCTCCGTAAGAAAAAAATAAATAAAAAAAATTGAAAAAATCTGTAGGCCCTAAATATTCTGCAACTTCCTGTTAACTTTAACACCTTTTGCAAGAAATGCTGTTAAATCAGCTACCCATATCTAATTTGATACAGTAAGCAGCTATCCCCGAAGAGGGGCCTGGCGCCACCCCTGTTTCTTACTATTGAAACTGCATTACGATGTTCGGAACTTTGTTATACAACTTTACCATTATCCTAATTTGTAAGGCTGTTGTATTTATCGCGTACAGCTTAGTATTTTATTCTCTAAATTTATCTTATAGTAGTCTTGTAAGTTGCTGAATTTTTAACATTGTTTAAACTCGCAACTGAATTTTGTGTACTTTTGCATCAGCAAATAAGTTAATAACACAGTCAAATTTAGCAATGTTGTCTGCTTTGGGCTCAGTACTAAGTAGGCCCTAGTGCCAAAACAGATAGTCTCGCTTTTCCCATCGTGGCTCTGAGATATGGCAGGATGAGCTTAGTCATGTAGTCATTACAGAAAAGGATAAAAAACAAGAGTTAAAAAAAAAGTACTGAAAAGAAATCCCAATCTATAAATTTTCCAATAAAAAAAACTACATTCAGAGTCTTATTATTAACTGGAAAATATTCAATGCCTTACGACATACCGTAAATCAATTTCGTCGTGTTTTTCTAAAAAGTGGTTATTCTATTATTCTCATTCTCCCATTTCAGCGTCCCCCAAACCTGGCGCCCGGCTCACCTGCCTACCCCCACCCTTGACCCGTAGCTACGCCACTGCTAGACGTTTTGACTTGCAGAGAACAATTTAGACCAGAGGTTCCCATCCTGCATTTGTGGACCGCCCCACCTCCCCCGAGACATGTCAAAAATCTTCACAGACCCCCACTTTAAGTATTACTCATGTCCATATTCCAACAATAAGATTATAGATTGAAAGTGATTCGCCCAAGTAATTCAACAAATTGCCTTGATTCGCCATGGGAGTGGTGGATCCTGGTATTGGAAATAGAAAATACCTCAGCCTCACCATGGTTGGGGTTGGGTATTAAATTGTTATGTCTAGGCACTTCTAGATGGCTGGAAATGGCACTGTCAGACTCAAAATTTGAATGTAATATTTTTTTTATCCCCCATTTATATATCTTTTTGTAAAATTTAGGGCTAACTCCTAATTTTTTTTAAATTTATTCAGTATCAAGGTAAAAGCAATACAAGAGAAAAATGTACATTACCTGAGGATTGTCATTATCAAGTAAGTCTCCTATATCTATACTAAAGATATTTACATGAAACATATATAAAACATATTTAACAGATCGCAAATAAAATATTGGAAATAAAATAAACGTTGTAAGACAAGACCAATAGTGGAATCATGAAAAATTATTCTAAAAATCTAGCGGACCCCCAGGTTTTTCTCGGACCCCCAATTTTTCGCGTACCCCATGCATACCATTTTGACTTGGCGGACCCCCAAGTTGAGAACCACTGATTTAGACAGACGGCGATAATCGGAACAAATCGGCACTGACTAGAGGGGAAATATTTATAGCTACCAACCTCATTTTTGCCTGCCCACATTAGATTTGTCAAAGTTAAATACCATTTTCCATTTTGTTGTAAGTCATTTGCTGCATTCATGCGAATTATCTGTCCAGATAGGCTACCAATTTTGACATCAAAATATAGTTTCTTTCTTTCTACCTCTTGAATTATTTGATAATGGCATCCTCAATGGAAACGTCTATAAATTCTCAACAAACAACAGTTTGTATATAAGTATGTTTGTATTGGTTTGTTCGTTTATTTGTTTATGTGTATATATGGATACATTCATTTATTTACAGGACTACATTCGTTGCGAGCTATGCTACACGATGTATTATTATGTCCTTTATTCGAACACTGTATTTACCTTTCTTTGATGATTTATGTATATAATTTAACAGTGTTAACGGCTACCTTGATTTATATATACATATATATATATATATAAAACCTTTATTCGGCTCTTATATATATTATCTTGTATATATAATATATATATATGTATATATATATACATATATATATGTATGTGTGTGTGTGTATTTATTATTAAGTTTAGAGATTACGAAATTTGAATTTTTAATTAAAAAGAAATGTACTGATATGATATGAAATGAAGAAAAATCTTAAATTTTATTAATTTTAGAGATTAAGAATTTTGAAATTTTCGATTCAAAAGAAATGTATTGATATGATATGGAATGAAAAGAAAAATCTTAAATTTTGAGAGAAAATGAATTAATTGTTAAAAAAACTGAAATGAAAATGAGTACGAAATCTGAGACCGGAATTTATGTGAATGTTTTTGTTAAGGTAATAAATAAATATGGCTTTGCCTGAAAAAGAAAAAAACAAACAAACAAACAACAGTTTTTTTCAGAACCAACTACGTGCTGTATACTGCAAGCATTAAATATACTTATAATGGCATCCTTGTTTCACGCCTTCGTCAATATTGAAAAGATCTTTAGAGTCATCTATGGCTCTGAAAAAACTACAGTATAGCCTACTCACAGCTAGATCCATATAAATGCCACACTCCATTCCTCGGTTCGCGAAGTCACGTGGTATCACGTGGTATCACACCGTCCATTTTTGTGTCCAAATCTTTTGATGAACACATGCAAAGTATATGAGTTAGGTAAATTTACACAGTATTTTCACATGTTTTAATTGTGTTTATGATGATATTTACTTAATTAATAACTATTTAATATGGAAAGTGTGATTTAGAATTTATCTTTAGAATTCGAATAGGGGCCTATTTGCACGTGTTCACGTGCGCTTGATAATTAAATGCGAATTTATACATGGAATTATAATTATAAAATTATAATTGGAAAGTTAAAGGTTCGTCTATTTTAATGAAAAGAGCTGCCTTTCTTGTCAAGAAAGTTATCTTTTGCTCTTTACTTTAGGCCTACACATATACCAGTTTAGGCCCTATTGTGGCCAAATTCCTATACTATTCAATTATAAATAGTAATAATCAAATTAATAATACAAGATTTTTATATATGCGCCCGCTCATATTCAGTTTTAAAGAACAACAATCTCAGAGATACCCTATTTACGGATCATTAAAATCGGTAAAGCCCAATGCCGTAGCCAGGATTTTTAAACAGTGTTGGACAATATAGAAAGGTGGACCCACTTTACGCGAAAATTCAAATAAATGTGGACCCATTAAAAGTGTCCAATTTTACGCATAAATATAATAATCTGGACTCATTTTTTTAAAAAACTTGACCAATTTTACACAGAATATTAGAAATCTGGACCCAATTCCAAAATGTGGACCCATTTTTTGTGGACCCAATAACAAAATTGTGTAAGACTGTCCCTGTACCAATAGCTGGCTACGGCTGCTCAATATGGGCTGCAAACACTGATTTTGATAAAGCAGGCAGGAACAAATTGAATAACATGAACAACATAGATGTAATCGAAAATATTATAAAATATTACCGGTAACTAATCTTAATTACATTTTGATAGACATTTAAATTAGTTTTTTTTTTTTTTTTTTTTTTTTTCATTTATTTCGCCAAAATAGGAGGAGCCACTTAAGGGTCTACTGCATATGGCAGGATTGCCTAATTGAAGAATGCTTGCCATCGAGAAAATAGCAGATTATTACAGTATATATACCGGTATATAATATGAAATTGGATATAAAGCAGTTGGCGCGATCGGCTGCCATAAATCAGTGGTCGCCAGGGGCGGATCCAGAAATGTCCAAAAGGGCCTGGCTGCTTTGCAAAGCGTGGCTGACTTACGTCTCGCTGCCGGTCTGCAGCAGGATCTCTATCGACAACATGGCCGGTGTAAGTCACGTGATTGAAACCGAGTTGGCCAAACTCTCTCTGATCTATCAATCAATGTAGCGCCCTCACTTGGTCCTTTCTACCGGCGGCGGCGGGCGCCCTGCATCCTGGTTTTTCCTAAAAAAACATGGCGTATTTTGTGTTTTGGTAGCTTGGCGCGTGTATACAATTTCTCCTTACACAGGCTATGACCTAGGCCTAGACCTACTGACCTTCTGCAGGACAGTAATTCAAAATGGTAGAATTTGGAATACATTTCTTGTTATAATTTATACGGTTGTAAACAGGCCTAGGCTAGTGGCCTAGGGTAGTTCTAAACTATGGGTATATAGGATAGGCTAGGCCCGTTAGTAGAGGCCTAGCTAGGCCTAAGCTTAGGCTATAGCCTAGTACAGTAGTACTAAGTAGTAGTAGGCTATTCTAGACCTAGGCCCTAGACCGGGCTAGGTCTTAACTTATAATCTGGCTAGTCCTAGGCTAAGCCTAGCTAGGCTATGTAAGTAAAGTAGGCCTAGGCTAGTCTAGCTAGCCCAATCATCAAATACAATAATGTGTGTACAATGTGGGAGAATGAAGTTTTGCACCTAACTTTTAATTCTTAATTTTTTTTTACCTATGTTTTTTTGCTTGACTTGACCGCCCGCTAATAAATGATTAGACGATGGCCTACTGTAGCAAACATACTGTACAGAACGAAACAAAAATAATTTGAAGGTCCAGTCCATCAGTCTAGCCTATGTGACATGTCTGAATCAGAAAAGCATATGAGAGCTAGCCCATGAAGGAGATGAGTATGCTTGATGGAAGCACTATGCATGCCTATCACTTGGCAGATTTCCATGAAAGTTTGGAAAAATGCATATTGATTGATAATAGAAAAAGAAAATTGATTGATTGATTTAACTATTGATAGAATTTATTCAGTATCAAAACAGAAACTAGGTCAAATACACATTTCACAAATTCACACTCACGTCACCTCAGTCCCCTTCGTTGTGTAGTGGAGGTTCAAATTTTATTACTGGGTAATATTAGTATGTAATTTATGCCATGATCCATAAAAAAATTAAACCATGATGGTAGGCGTAGAGTACCGGTAAGCAATTTCTTAAATTACCAAAACACACAGCAATTGCTGAATGCCTAGGCCTAGCGTAGGCGAAGGATTGCTAGGTAGGTAGGACCAGACCATTGACAGCACTACATTCAAAACCCCAGCTACTCTAACATGAAAAATTCCCAGCCCTTTCGATGCAGGTTACATCTATGGGGACACAACTATGTGTGCGTCCCGGGCTCAGTCCCAGCCAGTGCCCTGCTATGGCCCGGGTCCTGGGGGAGGGAGGGTGTCAGGACTATATTGACAAGTGCATAAAGCCTAACAAGCTGCATCTGAAGTTATAAATATATATAAGCCTAATCATATATATCTATACATCTTAACATGTAAGCCTAGCAATCAGAATCTAAAATCACATCAGTTTACAACCTATATGACTGTTCAATATGAGCTACTGTAGGATGTTGTTTAAGAATTCCGTTCAAATATAGAATACATTACAATATAGCAAATTAGAAAAAAATAAACAATGAGATGCCTATATATACACATCAAAATAATATGCAACATAAAATGATGCTTTGTGTATACAGTGCTCTATTGAATAGGCCTAGTTTTTTAGTAGGACGATGTTTTTAGTAATCTTTAGGTAGAATGAGCGCAAGACTTGATAAATGACTAGTACTCAGAAGTGGTTTATTAAGAATCAATAACAAACAGTAACTGTAAATCCATTTTGAGGTACTTGCACTAAAACGATCTTATACACTCCCCCGTATTTAAAGACCACTTCTAATGCCGGTCTTCATTTAGAAGGATTCTATAATTAGAGACTAAAGCTGCTGATCACCATAACCATCCCAGAAGTTGTCGTAATTGGAGGGAGGCCTGTATTAGAACTAGAAAGTGTATATTTTCCTAGAATACTGTATAGACTACACATACTTATTAAACTTCTCCCTAATATAGTTTTCATACTGTAGTTTCTCATAATAAGGTAATAATGTTTAATGCATGTCTGACTTTTTAGACTATTTTGTGGAAACATAGCATAATTATTTACAGTAGTGAGAATTGCTGAGAATAATTTACTTTTTTTCAGATTCACATTGCAGCCTTGAATGACTACTCAGATGACGAATCTGAAACTGAGCCAGTGATAGAGACAACTAAAGAGGCTCAGGTAATAACAAGTATACATATCACTAGCCTACTGTGTTGTGTATCAAAGCATGAGATTTGTGTGTGAGGTTTTTTTAAATTATATTACTTAATTGAAGTTGGTCATTTTTTATCATTCAAACATTTTTATTGAAAGTGGAACAGTAGGGGGTTGAATAGAGAGAGGGACACGAAAGTGGGACAATCTCGCCGATAATATGCATGTTTATGTCAAGGGTAGCATTGGATTGCATAATTTATTAAATATTCAAAACACTGAATTAGTCAATATGACATCACAAAAGTCTTGCCATTTTTTACGATTGCAATAAAAATACCAATTCTAAAACACTCAACAGTTTTGAATGGTTAAATAAAAACTGACAATGAATTCGGCGGGCAAAATTGTTAGTGTTTTGTACACTGTACCCCTTTCTGGAAATTTGATTAAGGTTGTATTTCATGACATAAAAATAATGACAGAATATTACACACAAACACTCGCATGTAATCTGGAACTTGCCTGAACGTGTACAGTGAACATAAGTGTCGTAATAAACATCAAAATAATCGTTGTTTCAAAAAGTAAAAATGGATATTAGCCATGCTAGTAAAGGTAACAGGTAAGACATTATTTTCACCCAAATAAAATAACAAGGCTGTGCGTAAAGAAACACAACAGTAGTAAGAAAGTTTAGCCTGTAGTGTTGAGCAATGTATCAAAATCTTTACACTGTATTTTTTTGAAATACAAGTGATCTAGAAGATGATCTTCAAATACTTTGAAAATGAAAGGCAAGCAATTCTCAAATGAAGCAGCTGTATGTAGATGTACCTGAGATTTACCATATCAAAAGAATATTTACACAAATACAAATAGGCCTAGTTCTTGGGTTGTTGCTAGCAAGGTACATACAAATGAGAACAACCACCTGGAAGTTACAACTAGCCCCACTTACACAGCCAATCATGTGTTTGTACATGTCGCTCACCGACGGCGGTCGGTTCCTCTCCTGCACACACAGTCAGTGCATGGAGGTATTCTCAATAATACGTCCATGGTCAGTGCGAGCATAAATTCATTTAATTACAGTAGCCCTGACTTAATTTTTGCGGTTATTTCGTACCATTTATTTTACGTAATAGTAGTATAATAAATATTTTAGTATGTTAATAAATAGTAAGTTTGTTTCATGGTTGTTTCCTACCATTTATTTCACGTCTGAATTGTTAGTATCCAGGTTAGTACACTTTACATATCCCTAGCTGTCACAACAGCCGAAACTGCAGGCGGTAATCGGATCGTCGGTACACAAACATGTAGTTATTATCCATCAATGCCTGCTGCTGCCTTTGGTAGCTGTGCGCAGAGAGAGTGCATCAATTCACAGTTCAGTACACACAACGTACACGCTGCCTGCTATGTAATGAAACTGTATTTTTTGTCGCTCCCTAGGAAAATTCAGGAGCGCTATTGACTGCTCTCCTCGCATCATTTTTGAGGAGCGCGAAGGAACGCCGGCGCGATCGCGCACCTTTTAAATCGAAGTCTGTAGCCCTAGGTTGATTTGTATTCTTGTAAATGATCATTTACATCTATAGTAGTATGGTAAATATCAGGTATATTTAAAAAAAAGCAGTTCAATACAAAGTATTTGCTTTTCATTTGCACAGTCATTTTCGATCACTTCATAATTCGAAAGAATCTGAGTGTGTGTTGTAATCGGCTGGTATTAAGCCTACTTTTGTCTAGCCTGTTGTCACTGTTTGACTTGAAACTGGCTTCATTTAAGTATTGATTTTTCATTCTATATTTTGGATGAAATTAATCTCTTAACTGTTACCGATACTTTTGCTGTTATCTTACTAGGCTGGTTAATACGACAGTATTCATTTTCCAATTTGAAACGACGACTGTTTTGATGTTTGTTATTGCAAAATGTTCAATTTATATCAGCTAGGGTGTAGGACCGTTCGACTGCGAGCAATTTTGATCGCAATTGAATACATTTTGTATTTCAAGATTTCAGTCAATTTGGTTCATCGAATGATTAATAAATATCTTAATACTGATAATTATAATAAATATGGGTATTGACTTGAAAAGTAATAAAAAGTTTAACAAATTTAAAATTCACTCTGGTAACTGATATGATAACCTTATTTATTTGAAAAATAAAGAAAGTGTATATTTTAATAATAAGACAAACCAACAATTTTCTGATTTTCTGGATGTTAAATACATTGGGGCCAAACTGGTTCACAGCTGAAACAGATGATTACTTGTGAGTGTTGTGTGTAGTATTCTGTTTTTTCACGTCACAAGGGTCACAGGACTGCAGCTTGATGACTGACTTGATGGACAGTATGTGGTGTGTGTGTGTTGCACTCAGTTTGTAAGCAAGCTAACTTAAAAGCTGTATTATTCCTGAATTTTAGTGTTAGCTTTAGCAATACTACTGTACTATAGTGGGGTGTGTTCCATTATTGTATAAAAAATAAAAAAAACATTGCTTGGTTAGGAACCATGGTCATTAGAAATTAAGTTGATTGTTTGTTTGCAATTAGACAATATGAAGAGCTTTGGCATGTTGGGCCTGTGATGCATAGCAACTAAGGGCATCATTTTTTATTTAGAGGCATACATTTGGCAGACTGTCACTGTTATTTTGTCGCTTTTTCTGTATGAATGTATGTTAGGACATAATTGAGAAATTATGTATTGATTTTTTGAATTCAATTCCACACTTGTAGGAAGCAGAAGCTTATGCTCTATACAATAAAGCGTTGGAGCTGCAACGTGGAAGCTTGCATCAAGAAGCTGAAGTTCACTACAAAAGGTTACTCAACACAAGCTTACTGACAAAGGTATCGATGCATTTTTAATATCCACTCTCTTTAACATTTGAAATGGAGTTCCCCACATCAGAGTGATGTAACTAATGATATTGTACACTGCTAGGGTTCAAAGTTGAGACCCTCTGGTTACTGCTCAGTGATTCTTCTAACAACTAAGGCTACGTTCAGACTTGGGCGTCCGTTAATCCGTGGCGTAAATAGTGAGATGTCCACACTGGGCGATTAATGAACACCAGCATAAATATTCGGCCGAAATATTCGTATTCGTAATCCCGCATATTATTTCCTGTATACAGGCTTATTGTGATTGGTCAAATCCTGGCTGAGTTCATAATCATTCATACATGACTGTCGTAACTCAGTGATTGTGTGTTAATATTGGCATTCGCTGCTCCACGCACAGGTTCACACCACTTGATTAACGTTATGCTAGCGTATCTCGTGTCTGAATATAGCCTTAGATGTGATATTAAGTTCTCATTCACATTGAAAATTGTCTATTAAATGGGAAATTTCAGTGGAGAAAGCTAGCTATCGTTTAAATTGTGAAATGGCTGTACAATCCAAAGTTTCAGAATATATTAAACCTCTCGGTTTGTACATACAAAATTTTGAATATTTAAAAGCGGGTGGGAAAAGGAAAAGCCACCTTTTTTCCAGCTTTTTCATCCAGTTTTTATTCTGTACCCTGTTCTGTTGATTTTGGTGTTGATTTCTCTGTTTTTTTAGGCCAAGCAATCTATATATAAAGTATAATAGTTTTAAACTTCAGGGTACAATTTCTAAGTAAAATTAATAGTATTTTCCATTATTTTTTTACATGACCACAGTCACAGTCACTTTATTCACTTGTTCACTTTCTACTACACTAGTAAGCCTACAAGCAAGTGCCGGGAACCAAGGAGGCCAAGGCCTGTAATTAAGCTCCCGGACTAATCTTAATTATTTAAATTAAACTTAAGTAATAATAATAATAATAATATTAAAAGGCAAAACAATGCACAGAACAAACAAGCCAAGCCGGGAAGAACTGGACAAATTAAAAGATGAATGGGATAAGGAGCACTTTGGGCCATGTTGTCATGAAACATATCTATCATAACATACTTAGTTATCATTATTGTTATTATCATTATCATCATTATTATTTTTATCATACCATACTTAATTATCATTATTATAATTAGCATTATCATTATCATTGTTATTGTGATTATTATTATTATTATTATTTATTATTATTATTATTATTATATTATTTACACACAGCGATATTTTCCGATAATTTGATTTTTTAGCTTAGTTTCAAATTGGTTTATGCAAGTATCAGATTTAATTGTTTTAGGCAATTTAAAGCCAGTATTTAGGTCCATAGTGAAAAACAGTGTTTTGTCTTTTAGTTAGTCTGGAAAAAGGAATATGAAATGAAGGAGTCTGGCTGGTGGAATATGAATGAATATTTGAATTTTGTAAAGCAAATTCCCCCACAATTTAGCTTATACATGAAAATCCCAACATTTAAATCAAAAAGGTCCCTAATCTGCAGAATGCTTAGGGATAGGAAAAGTGGTTGAGTGTGAGCCAACCATTTTGCGTTTCAAATGCATCTAACCGCCCTCTTTTGTATCACGTGGACTCTGTTAGCTTTCCCCCATGCAAGAATACTATAATTTAAATATGGTAGAACGACAGAGTTATAAAGCAATTTCATCACACATGAGGGGACAAATTCTATAAGTTTGTGCATAGCACCAACGTTGCGGGCTATCAGTTCTGGATATGTACGTCACATGCCAATCGCTCATCTATATTAATTCCTAAGAATTTGGTAGCTGGAACCCTAGAAATTTCATTCCCATTCAGCAAAATCGGGGCAGGGAGTATTGCTGAAAAACATAAAATTTGATTTGCTAATGTTCAATGAGAGGCGACATCCTTTAAATAACTACATATCTTATAATATTAAAAAATGTCTAAAGAATCAGGCTACAGTATTTTATTTGCTTGTAACCAAATACGTACTATAACTGATATAATAATGTGCTAGTACATGATCTTCATGACACATTCTTTAAAAGACATAAACTGTACTGCTGCTTTTTTTTGAAAATGAGAAAAAATAGGACACAGTTGGTTTTAATTTATTTACTTGGCCTCCTTCCTGTTGTAAGTTTAACAGTAGACATGCATGACTCATGTACATTATGAACAACAGAAGTAGTCCAGTATATTCTTGCTGTACTTTATGTGTATAGTCAGTTTTTGGTACTGGTCCATCGTGGCAAACACTGAAAAAAATAATTTCAATAAGGCCGTTTTTCAGCAGTACTTATTACCCGATTAATTAAATTAAAGGAAAGCAGCCATTTTGTTATTTTTTGTTGCGGAAACGGGGCGCAAATTTCCGATAAATTTTCGTATGTGAATCAGATAAATATAAAAAAAAAAGCTCTGAATGCGAAAATAACCTTTGACTGATGTCAAATGACAGTAATGCAAATAAGGCACCTAGTATCAAACACTTCATAATAAAAAAATGAGTAAATCTTTTGTGCTTATTAAATATTTTAAAATCCCTGAAACGGCTACGCTTAACGTCGACGGTGCCTGGCTGCACCAAGGTCTATTCCTACCTATCGTTTATTGTATCGTAAACCACACCAAACAAAGCTGGCATTCTTTTTTGTCTTCTTCTTATTAATCAGTAGTACAATATAACAAACGATTTCGTTCCTGGCCTAGTCCTCTCCATCTTGCACCAAAAAGGGTCACTTGCTAGGTCAAAAAACAGATGTTTTGATGTGGAACACATTGCATCGCTGTCCATAATTTTGCATGATTTGATAAAATATTTAGAGGGAATTATCAGAGAAAGTCCTAAGAAAATTAGATATGTTGTACCTGTCTGATTAAATTATTAAACTATCATAAGTACATCAATCTAGTTGTGTGAAGATATGCTATGTAGTATGATGACTAAACCAAGAAAAAACACAATTTTATTGATAAATGGGCAAGCTTTGTGCCCAAAAGTGATCTATCCTGTGAGGTATATTGATCTGTTCAACATTGGATAATGGGTCAATGAAGAAGCTTTCTAATTTGCTGCCCTGTTTTTGCTAATTAAAGAATCCACTTCATGAAAGCTGGTAACACTCTTTAGGAGATAGGAAAGGCAAAGTAGTCAAAAGCCGAAGAAATCTAGAAATGGCTGTAAACCTCTACCAATTATTTTTTCTGTTGTCATATTGTCACCTGTCACTTTTACTGACATAGGTTTGATAGTTTGTGGAAGGTAATCCATGACATGAGCACTTTCTGACAGATACTGTCATTGACTCAACATTTAGAAACTCATTTTATGAACAATCTTTTTGTTGGAATTAGGTGGTGGCTCATCAGTAGGGGATATGCTAGCACTTTAATTTATTTAATGTTTTGCTAATGAATACAACATAAATTATAAATTATTGGACTGGATTTCTTCGGTGTGAACACTAGGATAACCCACGGAAGTCCGAAGACTTACTTCCAGTGGAGCCCTCCTGGTGGTGATTGGGTATTACACCGGGAGACATTCCCCTACTCCATGGGCTGCGTTCACACATTGGCTACCACTTGTTTAGCCAACTGATCTGTGCTGATGCAAAATATTATTGAAGTGAAGGAAGGATTGAACAAATGTGAATGACCCCTGATACTACGCCAATGTTTGTATTCCTAAAAATTGATTTGGTTATGACTAGAAAAAAAAAAAAAAAAAAAAAAAGATATCAGTTTTATAATTGTTTTTTTATTATAAACAGAAAAAAAAGTAACCTGAAAATTATAATAATAATAACAATAATAATATATTAGACTTAATGCCAACAAGGCCTCTAAGCGCTTCAAATTATTACCCTCTGTCATTGGATCAAGCACATAGAAAACACATACTCAGCTCCCTGGGGAGATTTCCATATGTTGCAACTATACTCAGCTCCCTGGGGAGATTTCCATAATGTTGCAGCTGTGATCAGGGCATTCTGTGTTTGAGCCTACCAGGCACCCATTGTACTGGGTTGAGAGAGATGTAGGTAAAGTGCCTTGCCTAAGGACACAAGCGAAATGCTCAGCGAGGGATTGAACCTCCGACCTCAAAGTTGAGAAGCAGAACTGCAACCGGTGTGCCAAACTGCTGCTATCAGTTGTATAATTTGTTTTTTTAATATAAATAAATTATAGTAGTTGGCATTAAGTAAACTAAATATAATTTTAACAGCTTACCTTTTTTTTTGTTCTTCGTTTGAAACCATTTTTTCCCCCTGCTTTGCCGTTTTTCATAACTACCTTTTCCTTTGATCCGTTCTGACCCATTTTGCAATGTCTTCCCTATCAGACTTGTAATAATAATTCCACTTGTTTGTGATAATTCCCAGAAATTCACAAAAAAAATACAGAGTTTCAACGCACTTGTAGTGTATATAAATCCTATATCGAACTTGAGGAGTTGTTAAAAATTTGTAATAATGAGCAGTACACAGTCTTGTACAACTGACTTGATGAAAGATAGCATGTAGGTAACTGAAACATAATCTCCGAGTTCTTGGTTGAGTTTCAGTCACTTCTGTTTTTCCTTATTGCAATGTTAAGTAGGTTTATGTTCCTTTAGTGCTGCTGTAGAACACCTGAAAAAATAGAAAAAAAACTTTAAAATGAATTACTCAATATGAGTGGTATGACTCAACTATTTAATTTTAAGCAATCCATCTGCACTCAAGAGTCCATAGGCTTTAGTGGTCAGTCAATTTGGAATGAACATTGGCAAGAGAGGCATATAGTACCATGGAGGTATTATTGGAAACGAGATCACTCGCCAACAGTTCCCTTTGACGCGACAAACACATGTGTTCCCCGCTTTTGCATTGCGCACGGGCGTATTACCCTATAATTCACATTTTTTCGTTAGCAACAACTTTTGCAACGACATGCATTTATACGCTTCCAGCAGAGCAGTTGTGCAATAAAGCGTTTGATTTTAACCCATTAAATATCTTTATAATGGACAGTGTTCCCCTGATTAGATTTTTTCGGACTTTTGGTATGTTATTATTTGTATATTTCAGGAACGGATTCCGTAAAATATTTATGTTAAAATTACTTCTGTGTTCATTATAATTTTGACTAAAGATTGATTAGTTCGACTATAAAGCTAAGTCAGCGTAAAACTGAAAAATACTCAGATTTTGGATTGATTTTTCGAATACTGTAGTTAACCCTCGTTAACCCTAAAATGACTTATTATAATCCTCAATCATTTATTAATTAATATCTGTTAAAATTAGAATTAGCGAATTTTGGCCAATTTATGAAAAGTTGAACTATACTATACTTTTAAAGGTCATGTAAATGTTCCATTAAATTCGAAACTTTTTTTGGTGGAAAATATTAATATGTTTGATATTTTATGAGAGATAAATGTATCAGCTTCAAAATGAAAACGATTGTGCAGCCATAGTGATTGACTGTATGTAGTGCGCATCGAGAAAAGAAGGTGCTCTCCATTTCGCAATGTTCAATTTTTTGGTAAACTATGCCTGCTGAAAATTTGATGGCGGGGAACACATGGGACTTCAAAGGCATCGCGTAAACGTTCTTCACGCGCTGCGGCAGCTTTGATCTTGGTTCATTTGCATACCGCTGCGTGCGCGTAGCTTTTTCGAGTGATCTCCTTCTCAATAATACCTCCATGATAGTACACAGCAGTCTCTCTGTTAGGCATACTGATAATTATGAGCAATCTACTGATTATGCACTCAACATTGATGACGAAGGCATATAGTATCCAAAAAGAAAAAAGAGCTAAAAGTTGGGGTTTTTTTAAAAAAAAAAAAAAACCTTAATAATGTGTAGGCAATGTCGTCTATGTGTTTGTATTATAGGCAGTAGCATCTGAAGATGGCAAAACTGAGCAAATTCTGGTGCAACCAGGTTTTATGCTGAAGTATTCTACTTATAAAAACCTCGCCAGCTTAGCATCCCAGAAAAATGATAAAAAAACAGCTATGGAATTTTACCTGGAGGTAAGTATTTTTTTATGATGAAACCTCAATTATGTAAATTTCTACTTTGAACGTACCAAATGATTTTTGAGTGGCACTGATCTAAAGGTGTATGTTCTAATAAATATATATATTTATATATATATATATATATAAAACACTGTATTTACATTACTTTGATGATTTATATATATAATTTAACAGTGTTAACGGCTATCTTGATTTATATTGTATGCAACT